ATATCACATAAATGATTGGCTCAAATTTTATTTAACCTAATCACTCACATTAAATCATCACGAAATTGGAGATTTTCGCCCATATGATTTATAAGACATGTCACCTACAAAATTCGAAACTCCATTCTACATCTTGAAATTTATATTGCAAAGCCTTTTTGTACAGTTTCTAAACTCAGAAAATTTTGAAATTCTTCAATTCTAACCCAATATTCATTTCGAGATAATCTATTACTTATACCACGTTATAAAACCTGACATAATGCATTAATAAATTAAATGAAAAACAATATTATGTTAAAATTGAAATCCCGATGGTTCGTCAGTATTTTAGGAAGAAATAATGATTAATCGATAATTTAGATCGACTTTAGTTTTTATACCGAAAAGATTATTATCTTGGTAAGGATGCCTAGAAGATTTATTAATACAGTTAAGGACGTATACTAAAAATTAATAATTAAATCAAATAAAGGATCCCTACCGCATCATTTCAGTTATTATAACATTATTGAAGGTATTATATAATACATCCACGCAAAATATAGCTTTAATATCATTATTTCTGCAGTAACCTAATGAATAACATGGATCACTGGCGAACCACATTTTACCAGGACCTGATCTGGAATATTGCATTTTATTGCCTTCTCTCAAAATTCCACACATACCACAGTTAGAAGCACAGTTTGGTACTAGGTTGGTTAAAATATTCATTACGTTACATGAATAACTTGTCCCATGTTGCATAGAATATGTGACATTTGCACCATTTGCCGCATTAGACATTTGCGTTTTCAAATCTAAGTGCGCTTTTGCGATGTTATAAGGCATTTCAATTCTCAAAATTCCTTTGATCATAGCCTTAGGCAACCATGAAATGAATTTTTGTGCAACATGAACATAACAAATATCACTAGGAGAAAGAAGTGTCATTCTTGTATTTGTTAAACTCTCGTCTATGCTGTAATTTGATGTGTTGCATATATGTGACAGCATTGAATATTCTTGTGTTAAAAAAGAAATAAATTAATTTACAATAAAAACTGAAATTACTAAATATATAATAACAGGTATTACCTATACAATTTTGATCATATGCAATCAAAGATGCATTTCGGTTACCTCCCATAAGAGATTTTACGTGCCATTCGTTTCTCCTTGTCCCATCGGCAGTTATTCCTACACCGCTTTGATAGCATCTTCCAAGACTATTTTGTCCAACAAAACATCCTCCTTCGGCAGATTTAGAATACCATTTGAATGCTTCTTCATTATTTGTGTTAGTTCCAATACCGTATTGGTAACACCATCCAAGATTGTTTTGCCCAATAGTATGTCCTCTATTTGCAGATTTTAAATACCATTCAAACGCTTTCGTTTCATCTTTAGTGACAAATATATTATTTTGGTAGCACCAACCAATAATAAATTGTCCATGAGAATTACCGCCTTCTGCTGATTTTAAATACCATTCAAAAGCCTTGGTTTCATCTTTATCAATACCAATATTATGATTATAGCAATATCCAACACTATATTGTCCATTGGAATTACCATTTTTTGCTGATTTTAAATAATACTCGAATGCCTTTTGTTCATCTTTGCTAACACCAATATTAAATTGATAACAATGACCTAGATTATATTGTCCGTCAGAATTACCACCTTCTGCTGATTTTAAATACCATTAAAATGCCTTTGTTTCATCCTTATCAATACCAATATTATGATTATAGCAATATCCAAGACCATATTGTCCATTGGCATTGCCATTTTTTACTGATTT